TATATATATATATATATATATATAGAGGCCTCATTTAAGGAAGAACTGATTAGTTGTAGTAATCGTGAGATTCAATTTCAACCACAAATCAATAGATAAATTAGAAACTTATAATTTTGGTAAATTTTTATTAAAATTTTAATGCAAGAACATTTTAGGTATTTTCTCTCATCTCTTCTCTCTTCATCCCCGTCTTCCGGCCTCCGGCCACCGTTCTCCGGTGATAACACAATTTGATACTCAAACACATATAAGATACATTGTGATACCACTATGTTACATATCCAATCGATCACACAAACGACCTCAGTGTGATACCCCAAGCACATATAAGATGCATTGTGATACCACTGTGGTATCACTGGAGGACAGGTCAGAGGACGGAGGCCGGGAGACGGAGAGAGACGAGAGGAGAGAGGAGATAGGGGAGATGAGAGAAAATAACTAAAATGTCTTTGCATTAAAATTTTAATTAAAAATTACCAAAATTATAAATTTTCTAATTTATTTATTGATTTTGTGGTTGAGATTAGACCTCACGGTTACCACAAACTAATTAATTTTCATTTGATTAGAACCCTATATATATATATATATATATATATATATAACTGATAAGTTTGTAGTAACTGTAAGATTCAATGTGAACCACTTACTTGAGATATTTAAGGATATTTTTTAAATAAGTTAAAAGGATAATATAATAATTCTATTTTTTTACAACTAATCAAGATATTTAATTAAATTTTTTAGAAGGAAATATTTAATTAAAATTAGTTACCTAGTATATAAATTACCTAATATACATCATATTTTAAAGACATTTGTGAATCAAAGTGTATCATAGTGATCACGTTCACAATGTTTCACATGTACCACAATGTATTTTCTTTGTTTTATGAAATGTATCATAATGTGCATTTTCGTTATTTTCATTGTTTTACAAAAGGTATCACATTATGCATCTTGTATGTATATATATAGGTATTGCAGTGAATATCGTTTGTAGGTATCACAGTGTGTATCTTGTGTTCACATAAGTTATTCAGAATAAAGTTTGTCGAATAAGATTCACCGGATAGAGGAAAGATGAGAGATGATATTTATAAAATCTCTAAAATGCTCTTAATTAACATTTTGATTTGTGGTTGAGATTGGATATCACGTTTACCACAAACAAAATAGTTCTCATTTTAAAATACAAAAAATATAAAATATAATTAAGATAATTATTGAGTTTTAACGGAATACTTAATTATTATATTTATAAAATGTTATATTATTAAACTTAAATTAAGTTA